GGTATCTTTGCAAGGGAGCATGGCACCCCCATCAGCCATCCGTCTGCTCCAGACCAAGCAGTTGACCTATCGCAGACCTGTCCCACGGCTGGCAAACCACCTGCCCCACCAGCTGGGGCTAGACTCAGACTCAGGGAAACTTCGATCTCCGTGTAGCACTGGTCTTCACCACCTGGATCAAGACCAAGGCAAGACATAACTCTGACCGCTCCTTCCTGAGGTCTCAACTTGTGAGTCCACAGCTAGAGCAGTGGGGTGAGATGGGGCGGAACTGGGGGCTGCCGACGTTTGGCTGAGTGGTCTCTGCGCAGATCCATAAACTCTAGAGGGAGAAAGCAAGGCACCGCCTGTAGCTGCAAGAGGCTCAGCCCCCTGGGGTTCAGAGAAAATTATACAAGTGGTTGAGTCATTTATTCCCTCTCTCCTGCCATTAACCTAGTTCTGTCTTCCCACTGTTCATTTCACCCATCCTCTTGGAGATCTGTTCCCCTTCCATCCCGGCCTTCATCTGTCCCTGCTATCATCCATCCCTCCATGCATGCATGCATCCGTCCATGCATGCATCCATCTATCCTAATCCATGCTGCATCCATGCATTCCCACATCCATTCATTTCTGCATGCATGCATCTTTGCGTGCATATATCCATCCATCCATCCATTCATCCTTCCATCGCTTCTGTTATTCATCCATCCCTGCAACCAACTATAACCCATTTCCTCCCTCCCACCATTCAGGCTCTTTTATAGATCCAGTCTCTCCTCCTCCATCCATCCACGTATCCTAGCAGCTATCCATCCAGCCAGCTTTATTTGCTGAGTCAGGAACTGAGACCACAGAGGAAGTAAGAGATCATCCCTATCCTAGAGGAACTCATAGTCTGGTAGATGAGAAAAATCATACGGAACAGAACACATACTGTGCTGTGATGCTGACTTGACTACCTATAAACACAAATTGTTATCGGAGCCCAGAGAACAGTGACTAATCATGCCTGTGGAGGTCTGGGGAGGTTTCTCAGAGGAGATATTGAAGGAAGGTTTTGAAGGATGAATAGGAGTTTGCCGGGTGTTTTGGAGAGTGGGAGGGGAGGTAGAGTTCAGGGTTAGGAAAGGAAGAAGGGACTGCCAGGCAGAGTGAGCAAAACAGTGGGACGTGTGGGTCCCGGTGAGTTCAGTCTGACAATGGGGTCTGTGCATATTGTGAGGACCCTGAAGGCCTGGAAAAGACAAGTGGAGCTCAGATGATCAAAAGCCTGTGTATAGGCAAAGGGAAGCCAGGGGACCCACTGAAGCAAGAGAGAGACACATCTATGGGCTCAGTCTGACAGCAAACAAGAGGGCAATTTGGAGGGAACAAGGCCGCAGGCTAGCGGACCGGCCGGGAGCCTGTTTGCAGCAAGCTGACAGGCAACGGTAAGGCTCAGCCCAGGCAGGGACCGGCAGGGGCCACAGAGGAGGAGGGTCACGGGTGACTTGGGACATGTGGGATGGTGGAGAAATAATGGCTGGGAAACCAGGGAGGAGTCTGTGATCTGGCTGCATCACATAGGGTGCTGTGTTTGTAAAGACTCAGGAGGCTGTGTCCTCAAGGTGCGCGCACCGCCGTGTACATGTGATCCGTCTCGGTTTAAAACTAGAGCGGGAAACATCAACCTAGAGATTCAAGGCTCTCGGCTGGGTCTCATCCAGGACACTGAAGTACCTCTCAGGATTTTTCTTACAAATTGAGGACTGGTTGCCCACACACAGAGTAGCTTTGCTTTGTTCGGAAGGAAGAAGAAGAAAAAGAAGATCCAAGTTTTGGGCTAGACCTTAGACAACAGGAGAACTTGGCTCCTAGTCATCGTGCTCCCTGCCCTTGATTGAGCACTTCCTCTATTTCATGGATTTTAAGGCACCCCTTATTTTATTTCTTCTATTTTAAGGTCTTCGAAACCAGGATGCATCATACACAAAGTGTCGTGTCATAATTAACTAAGCAAGGCAGTCAAATAATGGTGCCGTTATAACCCCAGGAGTCTTAATTCAAAAAACAGGGCGGTGTGTGTCAGACTCTCCAGGGACCCATCTGTCCCTTTTTCATGTGATCCTTACAACATCGTATGAGCTATCAGCTGTTGTTAGCGGTTTCCCAGATGAGAAGTTGAGGCCTAAAGCAGGGAGGTCACATGCTCACAGTGACAGAGCTACTCAGAGGTGGACTCAGGATCTCAAGGCATCTTTGTTCAAGGCGAGGGCAAGCCTGGGGCTGGGAGGGTGGTGGCTTTTCCTTCCCGCAGCCAGAGACAACCGGGTCAATGGTGAGCACCATCTCCCAGCCCGCCATCTTCCGATGCAGCCTCTTGTTTACCCAGACCTTTCCCCCTCTTGGCCCTAAACCCTGGGATTCTTTTCCCACTCCCAGGAGGGCTCCTGCTCTGACATCTGTGGTGACCCCCCTCTCCCCCTCCGTGGAGAGGAGAGGGATGGAATGAGATCTCAGGGGAAGGAGGAAGAAATTCTGAGCCCAGCTGGTTTCCCTCACATAATGCAGATTTGCTTAAATGGGAATTAGGATTAGTGCTGGATTTTGCCTTTCCTGGCAGACTGGTAATAAACTAATCTCCTCTTGGGCTGCAGCAAGGCAGAATTCCATCGAAGACGGGAGACAGCTTCAGGCTCAGGAGTGCAAAGCCTGGAAAGTAATTTTATTATTGACAGGCCCGGCCCACACTGCCTGACACACAGCCTGCAGCTCCTTCCCGCCTTTAATTTCGTTAATGTGTGACATTCACCCAGGCTGCATGGCTGATGGGCACACTTGACATTAATACGTGGTCCTCGTGGTCCCCAGAGCTCATAAAAGCTCATTATCAGTTCTGAGCCCGTAAATGTAGTTCCTGGCTCAGGTGGGCCCGAGTTCCTCAGACATGTCCCCAGGCAGCAGAGCGGTGGCCATCTTATAGGAGCCAAGAAATAAATGCCTCCCTTTGTCCAGGGGACTTGGCCTTCCAGGCTACTGGAAGGTGACCAGAAAGACAGCTCAGCAGGCAGAAGCCTGCCCAGAGCCCTGGGTACAAATTTACATCCAAGAAAATGGGGCTCCTTGTGTCCTGCTCTTTGGGGAGGAATTGATCCACTGTTTGAGGAAAGGGGTTTGTCAGAAGCTAGCCAAATGTGGAATGTGTAGAGCCCCTGGCCCGCAATCCCACTTCCAGGCATCTGGGCTGTGGACTTGCTCGAACATTCCCACACGGCGATGTAAGCGGGAAGGGGATGGTGGCAACAACGTTGTAACAGGTGGGAAGGGAAATATCCCACATATCTAAGGTGGGATATCTAAATAAATGATGGTCCACTCCTACGAGGAGGCAGAAGACTCAGGAAGATCTATATAGTCTCAGATCCATGGGTAGACATGATAGCAACTGCTAGCTGGGGAGGCAGAACGTGTGTGGTAAGATCCCATTTGTGTAAAGAGTTGCACCATCTCCATGGGGGCCCACACAGGCACATGCTCACACACACACACACACACATACACACATAAGTGGTTACATGGAATAAAGCCTAGAGGGTCATGTTACAAAGATTTTGCAATGGTTCTATGAAATGTGATGAATGGATAAGGAAGAACGTTCACTTTTGTAGTTACAATCAAAGTTATATACATATATCTCCATATCCCTATCCATAGGTGTGTGTCTTTGTCTACGGATGGATATGAATGTGTGTGTGTGTATATATATGTGTGTGTGTGTATATATATATATATATATATATATATATATATATATATATATATAGAATTCCTTTGATTGTAGCCTTGGTCTGCTCCATGATATGTGAGCTTCCTTGGGTCAACTCTGCCTGGGTGAACTTCGGAGGCAAAGATAGCCAACTGGGGTCCCGTCCTCTGGCCAAGCCCTGGTCCCCATCAGTTTGCAGGGAGTCCTGAGAAACTCTTCTATGCGCAGCGTGCATTGAGCTAGGATCCGTAGAGCAGACCTGGAGCTCATTGCTCTCCTGCCCTGTGGACATGGTATGGGCGCCAGGTTTGACCTCCCACGGACCTGACTTCCAGTCCCGGCTCTGCCCCATTTCGCCGTGATGACCTTGGGCAAGTTATTTATTCCTCTGGGTTTGTGGCCCTCATCCCCAAAGTGGGGATACCGTCTCGTGGGATTGTCGACATCATCATCTGAGACAACGTGAAACTCGACCGGTCCTGGAGGGCGGGAGTCTGGGAGATTTGGGGGTCAGGGGACTCGGCTATCCCATCTGTGCTGTCGGCTTCACTCTTTTGTTCCTCAGCCGTGCATGTGAACAAGCCGGTCCCCCAGGGCTGGCCTCAGCCTTGGCTGGCAGGTATGTGGCCTGGACGTGGCGAATTTGATCCTTCTCCTGTGACCCGGGGGCTCTCCGTCAAACTGACAGAGAGGAAGTTGGGGGGAGAGGTTGGACTTCTGGCCCCTGCACTCTGGGGCTGAGTTGCTTCTTTCACTACCAAAGACCTAGCCTCTTCTTATTTATCTCTTCATGGATACCAGATCTGGAAAGTGTGGATCTGCCCCCAAAGCCTGCATTCATTAAGCAATGATTAATTCTCCTTCAGTTTCACCATTACTCAGAAAGGCTTTTTTCCACCTGAGGAGAATGGAGTTTCCGCGACGAGTTGGTAATGTTCTAGCCAGAAGCAAAGAAATGTGATGTGATATTGTGATTAGCATGCGTGATGTCATCACGTGCACACGGGACAGGCTCCTGGGTATTTTGGAAGGCTGAAAGTATGTGCCAGTCCGTAGGCTCTGGGGACGCCATCCCGGAATGGGATGTGGGGCTGGGTGCTTAGTTCTTTCTGTCTTTCTGGCCGAGACTGTCCCGTCTGGCTTCTGCACCTGCAGAGACGGAAGAAGAGAGAAGGAACTTAGGGGGTCTGAACTGAGGTGGCCCCCAGCAGCCACATGCCCCACTGGCTGTTGCCTTCTTAAAATTTACACCTCTCTCTTCTCCTTCTAGAGTTGATCCTGAAGCCATCAGAAAGCCACCTCAAGAGAATCCTCACTCTCCTGGAAGGAACAGACGCCAGTTGAAAGGTATGATTTGGCCACAGGGCAACATGGCGGCATCTTATTCAAATAAGAGTCTGATCTTCTCTCCTCTTCTCTTTCCACTCGACAAACCCTCTCCTGCCAACTGAGAGAGCTCTCAGCTGCTGCCGGAGTGCAGGGCAAGCAAAGGGCAGCTTCCCTCTTGTCCCCACCCCAGACATTTTTGTTCAGGGTTGGGGAGCACAGCTGAGGCATGAGGAGAGAGGCTGGTGCTAGGGTAGGGTCTCACTGGGGCTGGCGGCTGCCCCATGAATGGACTGCCCGTCATGGTTGCTCCTCGGGGTTGGTCCAGGAAGTGAGGGTTGAAGCACGGGAGGCAGTGAGCCCTCCCAGGGAAGGCAGAGCTCTTCCCCACTCCCTCCTCCCACACCCTCCATAGTCTTAGGATTGTGAGAAGAAAAGACCTTTCTAGAATGACACCCCCACCCTCTACCTCAGGACTCTTTTGGATACAGTTCACATTCCAGGATGGAAATGAGAATGGAAAAGTCTTGGTTTGCTTCTTGGGTTCTGGAAGCTTCTTGGGCTGCCCACAATCCCAGGACTGGTGATGGGGTGCGTGGCCTCATGGAAGGTTCCTGAATGAAGAGCCAGGACATCTGTCCTCTGGCCCAGGTGCCTCAAGGGTCCTTAGAAGCCATTTCTCTCATGGGGCCTCGTTTTCTCACCAGTAGAATGGGCAACAGTGACTTGAATCTCTGTCCCAGGCCTCATGGCTCAGTTTCTGAGGTTCCCAGCCCCAGGCTGAACGAGAGGAAGTGATGGGTGTGGTGAGGCAGCAGGGAAGCAGAGAGGGGGTGGGGGCTTGGGGAAGACTGTGGAGATTTGAGTGCCAGTCTTGGCCAAAGGATGCCTCAGAGCCTTGGTGAAAAGACCACAGAGTCTGAGAGGTAGATGGGCTGAGTTTGAGGCCTGGCTGCTGGGAAGCATCGCATCAACCAACACTGAGGGCCTCTGCATGCCAGGCGCTGTTCTAGGCACAAGCCCTACACCATCCATTCAGTCCTCTTAACGGCCCTGTGGTCTTGGCACGAAAATCACCTCCATCTTAGAGAGGAGAGAACCAGGCCTCAGAGAAGTCAAGTGACTTGCTCAAGGTCACACAGCTGTGAGTGGGGGATGGTGGAGATTTGAAGCCTTGTCTGACCGACCCTACAATTCTTGTGTATTTTCCTTTGAGTGACTCTGTGACTTGAATCTTAAGGTTAACAAAATCCTGGAAGCCAGATCACTTCTTGAAATCACAATGTTTGAAAGGACATAAAAATGATTTGTTTCCTTATCCTAGATTTTTGGCTTTGAACCTTTGGGCTCATTGTGACATCTCTGCAGGTCTTGGTTTTCTTTTTTTTTTTTTTAAGATTTTATTTATTTATTTTGAGAGAGAGAATGAGATAGAGTGAGCATGAGAGGGGGGAGGGTCAGAGGGAGAAGCAGACTCCCCGCCGAGCAGGGAGCCCGATGCGGGACTCGATCCCGGGACTCCAGGATCATGACCTGAGCCGAAGGCAGTCGCCTAACCAACTGAGCCACCCAGGCGCCCCTGGTCTTGGTTTTCTGATCTCTAAAATGGGAGCATAGCGCTACCCATGGGTTGTTTTTGGGAGAAGATGAGATGAGGGTGGTACAGACACCCCCCCCACCTTCCCACCCCAAGACTGCTTCTAGAAGCGCGGATTGATGGGTTGTGCGCACTGTGGGGTGCCGCCCCCAGCCATGGGATGGCATTTGCGGTTCCAGTTGCCTCTGGCGCCGTGCTTGGGAAGCACTGGGTCACTTTCCCAGTCACCGATCTGATACCCTCCCCCGGCCTCTGGGCTCATCCTTCCACTTTTGGAGTGTGCCGCCAGCCAGCCGGGATGTTTCAGGCCGGAATCCAAGGCACGGTGGCTGGCTCCCAGACGCAGATAACGCAGGGCCAGGCTGGGCCCCGGGTCCCCTGTGTCATGTGGCTCACCCTGCCCTGCCGGCTGCCTGGGCCAGAATCTCAACCGTCAGCCTCCTGGCAGCCCGCCCTGCTCCCCCCAGGAAGCCGCTGCCTTATCGCAGAGCCAGGATCCCGCACGCTTTTCTTAATCAGGAGAAGGCGCTGAAGCGAGTCGGGAAAAGCTTAACTTCCCCAGGACTTCTCTGCTAGGGATGTTTCTCCATCAGGGGAAGCCGTGAGCCTCAGTATACGAGAGGCAGGAATCTCTTTAAGTACGGAGAAAAGCAGCAGGGGTGCTTTTGTTCTCGGTTTACCTTCAGGAAGGTTGCAGGGGAGCAAAGTGAGTCAGCCTCACCCCCCTTGTTAGCTAGGAAACAGATCAATGTAGAGTCCCCGGGGAGAATACAAGGAGGACCATCAGCAGGAGGCAGACAGTATGTGCCATTATGGGAAATGTCTGCTGGGGTTTGGGGGCCAGACTGGCCGAGGCTGGGTCCCGGCTCTGCTCTTCCGTAGCTCTTTGACTCCGGGTGAGTGATTTGGTGTCCAGAGTCTCAGTTTTCTCATCTATCAAATGGGCAGATAGCATGCACCTCACTGGGTGGCTGTGAGGGGGAGGACCCTCCTGCTTGCTGTGCATGACAGAAGTCCCCTGGGATAATGTGGCCTCCCAAGGTGACCCCCTTGAAGAGGCTCGGGCTCTTGGGATGGACGAGCCGGGTGTTTGTGACCAAACAGGGAGGTTACTGTGGAGACACATACCTCTTTCCACGCATGGTCTATAAAAGGGCCGACAGTGGGGCCTGGGTTGTGTCAGCTCTCTGTTCTGACACCCTGGGGTGTGGGGCCACCTTGGGTGTGAACAGTTCTTCCTGAGCCTTTATCCCATGGTTTACACTTCACTCCCGACGACATTTACCGGACCCTTTCTGTAGATAATCGCTGATCGTCCCCATGCCCCAAGAGGCAGGTATTAATAAACTATAGGTGAGGACAGCTGGGATTCAGAGAAATTGTAAATTATTCCAGGTTTTATGTCCAAAAAGCAGTCAGATTGGGACCTAAACACACGGCTCCTGTCCCAAAGACAGTGTGTTGGCCACAGCACCCCACAGCACCCCAGTGGCTTCCCACGTTCTCAGGACAGCACCCATACAACCTCTGCGGCTCCCCAGAGCACCCACAGAGGTACCCACAGCGTCCAGGAGGCCCCCTGCAGGACTCACAGCATCACCCCGTGACACTCATGGTAGCCCTCCTCCTGCGTTCTCCACCCAGCCTTGCACGGAATTCAGAGCTCAGGGAGAAAGGGAAGTCCCCTGATGTTTTTAATCTCCCTAGCCAGCCCTCTGCAGCAGGCTGAGCGAGCCAGTGAAGGCAGTTTCTAGGAAGCATGGGGATCTTCCTCCTCCTGAGATCTGACCGCGGGAAGCAGGTGGCGGGGAGGAGGTGACAGAAGCCTGGCTGCCCCAGGAGAACCTGTCCCCAGGTTCCAGTTTATCTACTTTTTCTTTTGTTGCTCATGCTTTGGGTGACATAGCTAAAAATCTATTACCAAATCCAAGGTCATAAAGATTTACCCCTTTGTTTTCTTCTAGGAGTTTTATGGTTTTAGCTCTTATATGTAGGTCATGGATCCATTTTGAGTTAGTTTTTGTATATGGTGTGAGGTAGGGGCCCAACGTCGTTCTTTGGCATGTGGTTGTCCAGTTCTCCCAGCACCGTTTGTTGAAAGGACTATTCTTTTCCCATTGAATAGTCTTGGCACTCTTACTGAAAATCAATTTGCCGTAGGGGTATAGGTTTTTGTTTCTGGGCTCTCAGTTCTAGTCCATTTGTCTATGTGTCTCTCCTTAAGCCCTATACCATGCTGTTTTGATTACTATAGCTTTATGTGTAACTTTTGGAGGAGCCCTAGTATATTCTAAAGCTCCCTGGTGATTCTAATGTACCTCCCAATGTCCCTGGATTTTAAGAGGAAGGTGAGAGCAGTTGGGAGGCTTCCAGAATGATCTAGGGCAGTGCAGCATGGAGAGAATGTAGCCCTGAAGCAAAGCCACAGTTATTGAGGTGAAAAGATCATGATGGAATTGAGAGAAGTTAGGAAGGGTGATGTTCTGATCCTCCCCCATCCTGGGAAGACCTCGGACATGCCAAAGGTGAGAGTGGAAGCCAGTGGTCCAGCTGAGCTTAATTCACCTCCTACCCACCCCCAGTATGATTTGGAGGAAGACCTGGGTCCTAGTCACAGCTCTGCTCCACTGTGTGACCTTGGGCAGGTTACCCGACCTCTCTAAGCACCTCATTGCCTCTGGGAGGTGGGTCAGTATCCTCTGCTGCTCATGCAGGTCAACAGGTCAGCTCTACAAAGGCTGGGAGGGGCTTAAAGGCAACTGAATGCTTGGCACAATGTCCGGCCCACGGGACCTGCCAGGTGGTTGTCAGTCTCCTGCCCACCTGTCTCAGTGGACTTGGGGCGCATGGCCTCCACTGCAGTCTATGCTGCCTTGGGCTGTCCTGGGCAGGTTGTGACAGGTTAAAGTGTCTTATTCTGCTGCGTTGAAATGCATTTTCTTGTACCCTCGGTCTGCTTGCCCCAAATCTGCTTTGTGGGCCCACAGAGAAGAAACATCACCCCCTTCCCTCCAGGCTGCACACACTTTACCGTTTGCTGCTGAAAGGTCGTCGTTACCTCTACCTCCCTCCGAGGATGCAGGTCTCGGGGCACTCCTGACTTCCTGTTCTCTTGACCCTCCTCTGGGGGGGACTCCAGCCTGAACTGGGCGTTTTCATAGTTCAGCCCTCAGAGCCAAGGCCAGAGCTCCGGCCGTGTTCTGACCCCAGCCAAAGTGGGTGGGACCAGCACCTCCCTTGGTCCAGACCTTTAACTTCTGTTCATGCAGCCGACGTGGCATGGGGTCCAATGAGTCCCGCATCCCTGTTGGATTCAGGCTCCCAACTTTTCATTGGCCAGGTAGAAAAGGGATTCACTCTTGCTATATACATCATTTTCCATCTGGTATTTATAAATCAGGGGGTAGTTTCTTGCAGAAGGGAG